GGGTGAAATTGCCTCCCATGAAGCTCTTTTCCTCTGCCTTGGTACAAGCCAGGCACCTTCAGGCTCTTACCAAGGGACGGTGCGGTCTGGAGGTGCAAATCTCGATGATGACATGCAGAACGCTTTCTCTAACCAACTTCCAGTTTTGAATTGCAGCTGGGACAGGACTGGGAAGATGCACGCAGGACACTGGTGGCCTAGCGAACGGAAGTCGAAGTAGGGTGTGAAAGGCATGGACGAACAGTGTGTGGAGATGAGGCGGGGCAGGTCTGGGAAGATGCATGCAGGACACTGGTGGCCTAGCGAACGGAAGTCGAAGTAGGGGGTGAAAGGCGTGGAGGAACAGTGTGTGGAGATGGAGGCGGCAAGCCATCACCCTTCCTTCCCGCCCCCCCCCCCCTAAGCAGTCGAAGTAGGCGGTGAAAGGCGTGGACGAACAGTGTGTCGAGATGGGGGAGGCGAGCCATCGCCCTTCCTTTTCCCCCCCCCTGTAATCAAATCTCGATGACATGGAGAAACGTTTTCTCTGAACCACTTCCAGTTTTGAATTGCAGCTGGGTCAGGTCTGGGAAGATGCACGCAGGCCACTGGCGGATTAGCGAACGGGAACGGAAGTCGAAGAAGGGGGTGAAAGGCATGGACGAACAGTGCGTGGAGATGGGGGAGGGAGGCCGTCGTCCTTCCTCTTTGTTCCCCCCTGTGCCCGGAACTTGGAAGTAGAATCCGTTCTCTCTCCTGATGTTTCGTTGATACCTTGGCTGGACGAGGCTATGGAATTTTTGTATTTTGCATGGCTATGGCTGTGGGTGGCTGTGGCTGTGGCTGTGGCTGTGGCGGGCTAATTCGTTATGCTATAGGTGGAGTGTTTGGTTATGGCGTACGGATGCAGGCCATTGGCTATTGGAGACAAAGGTAGCAGAGGTGATTGTTGTGGCTTGGCATACTGATGGTTTTGGAAACGGACTAGTATGGAGGCTTTGGCTTTGGCTATGGAGGCTATGGCTATGAAATCTATAGCTATGTATGCTATCGCTAGGAGGCTAGACGTATAGAGGCTATCTATATCTAGGGTATGGCTATAGAAGCTACAGAGGCTAGGCCTACAGAGCTAGGGTTATCGAGGCGTTGTCTATTGGCTAGGCTATGGCTATATAAGCTGCAGAGACTAGGCCTACAGAGCTACAGCGGCTATCGAGGCATTGTCTATTGGTGGCTATGCCACCTACGGAGGCTATGACAATGGAAGTTATGCCTACAGCGGCTGCATGTGTGGAGGGTATAGCTGTATAATTGGAATTGGCTATGGGGGCCTATGGCAGCAGATGCCGGGGCCAGGTCTCTGTGGAAGGCATGGCTGTGGAGAGGATTTGGCCATGGGAGGAAATCCTTTCGTATTTTGAAGCCAGTTGCAATTAAGACTATGCCTATAGCTGCTATAGGCGTACAAGAGGCGATGACTATGAGGGCCTATAGGCGTGCAAGAGTGGATGACTACGAGGGCCTATGGCAGCAGAGGCCAGGGTCAGGTCTCCTTTAGAGAGAAACGATGTGGAAGGCATCGGTGTGGAGACGATTTGGCCATGGCAAGAAATCCTTTCATATTTCAAGGCTGTTGCAGCGAAGACTATGGCTATGGCTGTATGCGTATGCAAGCTGTTGTTCTGGGCGATTTGGCCATGGAAGAGCATATAGGCGGGCTATGGAGGCCGTGGCAGTGGTGATCTGCAAAGAAGTGGAAAAAGTGGGAAAAAGCACATCTACCAACAAGCGGGCACATTTGGAGGCGTCAACTACTCTTGCTATCCCTTCTCTCTCTTTGTCACTCGCTCCTCTGTCGCTGTTGGCCCCTTTCTCTGTGTCCATTTACTCACCTCTGTCTCAATATTTCTTTTTATTTCTTTTATGTTGTTCGCTAAGTTGATTTGATGCTCGATATGTGCCATTCTAAGTGATATGCTCTGCTTCTGAATCACACGCCGCTATGTGGGCCCCATCCCCTGACATCCTCCTCCAACTCTCTCTCTCTCTCTCTCTCTCTCTCTCTCTCTCTCTCTCTCTCACACACACACACACACACTTTATATTTTAAAACACATCTCTCTCTCTCTCTCTCTCTCTCTCTCTCTCTCTCTCTCTCTCTCTCTCTCTCTCTCTCTCTCTCTCTCTCTCCCCCTCACACACACACACACACACTGAGGGTTCAACTTCCTGATGAGTTGATGAAAGTTTGATGAAACAGTCTGGCATAGTTTTTTTTTTTTTTTTTTTTTTGTGGAGTTGTGTATAGCGAACATGACATCACACACACACACACACACACACACATATAACTTGATAGAAGATTTTGAGGGAAAGGCTGTTTCAAGTTGGATGTACTCATCTGGGAGGAAAAGGGGTCTCTCCTTGTTTCTCCCTCTTTTTGTCTCTCTTCGTTTGGTGTTCAGCACGCACACACACGCACACACACGCACACAGACACCTGTAGAAGTGTACATGCGCACGCCCTCTACAACCGACATGGCACTTTCGCTGCAAAGACTAGCGGAGTAACTCTTCATCCTCCCATCTGTAGTGTCTCTCCCCGTTTCCGTGACCAGTGCATCGTGTTGCTATTAAGATCCGTTGATTTGTTGATCGTGTCAGTCTTCTGCTATTTACGGCGTTTGTCTTCAGACTCTTCACTGCTTTTCAGTGAGCAATAAAACGGTTCCACAGCTGCTCTTGGGGCTTCTTCACCACTCGCTAACTACCTACCATTTTTTTTATTTTTTTTTTGTGTTAATTTGGACCATTTCTCGATTTATGCGTGTCATCCTTGCGCAGGGGCCATGCTAATCTTCAGTCTCTGTATCGTTCCAATTTTAACGGATGTCCCGAAGGACAGGTTTGTTTCTTAACTACGCGATACCTACTTATCACGACCAGTTTGCCATTTCTCTGTTCATGAATAATGGATGTAGGGAGTTGTGTGTGTTTCACAAATGTAAATACTAATAGAGCAGCAAATACCAAGTACTAAATAGTAGATACTAGATAGTGAATTTTAATTTTCGCTGCTATGTGATCTCTTTGCCGTGCCCACTCGGCATAGCTCTTTCCATTACTATGAGACTCTATACACTTGCATCTTTCCCTTCTGTGTTCCTGATCGTCAGTCTGATGACTCTCATCCATAAAAGCGTTTTTTTTTTTTTTTAACAAGTGCTCCAGTCTGTTCGTGGGGAGCAGCACGTGCGGGGAACCCGGGCCCAGCGTCCCATATCGAATTGTACAGATCATTGAGAACATTTGAGATCCGTAGAAGTGCTACGATCCAGCAAGACACGGGGGTTATGTAGTGCTGAGTCTGCCGACACAGTTTACATGGTTGCAATTTTGATTGGAAGCAATCGCACTTCATTGGAGGGCTTTGTTGAAAAGCTAGGTTACTTGATCCGCCTGTCGAGGCGAGGCGAGGCGAGGCGAGGCGAGGGGGGGTGTATGCCCGGGCAATCCCTGTAGGCTGGAAATTGCCCAAGTAATGCGCAATTATGCAAGCATGTTATTTTATATTTCTGGTGGTGCTGTGTGAATGGGCTTGTCGAGAATATGCACAATCTGCATTTTTCTAAAAACTTGGAAATTGAGCCGGGGGATAGCAGGGCGCATCGGTGTGAGGCAAGGGTCCCAAATGGGTTTAGAGGGGCAGAAGCAGCATTTAATTTATGAAACTCAAAAAATACAAGATGCAAGAGCTCATTGAAGACCAAGTTGAAAGCAGAATCACGAAGCCGAGACCGCTGAATTCTGTTGATAATGAGAACTCACTTTGCGCCTCCAGCAAACAGTACAACTATCAGCTTCCGCCGAGGAGAGAGTAGTAGCCCTTGCCATGATGTCTCGGCCTACGCTACTCTCTTAATCAACCCATACACTAGTCGACCACCTATCACTCTCTCTCTCCACACTACTCTCTCCAGCTGCCGCTGTCGAGTCTGGTTACACCTCTCTCTCTCTCTCTCTCTCTCTCTCTCTCTCTCTCTCTCTCTCTCTCTCTCTCTCTCTCTCTCTCTCTCTCTCTCTCTGTNTCTCTCTCTCTCTCTCTCTCTCTCTCTCTCTCTCTCTCTCTCTCTCTCTCTCTCTCTCTCTCTCTCTCTCTCTCTCTCTCTCCACACTACTCTCTCCAGGTGCCGCTGAGGAGTCTCGTTATTCTGGTTATATTCCGCTACTGGTCCCGACCTACCTGACAACTCGCCACCGCTTCCTGCCCTGCGCCGGACACTAGCTAAGGGCCTATGGCACATACGCAAATGGCGAGTTGTAAGGTAGGTCGGGACTGGGAGCGGCGGTTATAACTTGTATTCCGCTCCCGGTCCCGACCTACCGTACACCTCGCCACCTTCTTCCTACAGAGACGAGTGCCGGACACTAGCTATGGCACACACACATACGGCGACCACCCTTTGCTTTTGGCAGTGGAGGCACTTGTCTCTGGCGAAGCTCTTTGCCAGTGCTCGTGCCGGATACCGCCTGCTGCCCCCTCCCCCTGTGCCCCTGCGTTCCTGGACTTCTCTCTCTTTTGTCTGGTTTAGGAGTACGGTGTGGGCTTTCGGTAGGCACTTGTCCCAACCCCAGATATCTGCCTGGCTGGTATCCTGTCTGGGTTTAGAGGGTAGTTTGCTGGGCCGGGCGGGCTCCAAACGGGGAGCCGTCATTTACTCGGGCATGGGCTTTACTAATTAGGGCTTGCTCTCATTTTCTTTGGCAGTCTTTCTGAGTCCCGTCAAGGCCCAGAGCCTTGCATTCCCATCCTGTGAAGCGGTGTTCAATGTTGGAACTCACCGCTCAGCCCCCAGGGCTATAGACGCAGTTGTAAACTGAACAGAGACAAGAAAAAATTTGACACCACCCCCCTTTCACTCCACCCAGATTTAAACTGAACAGAGACAAGAAAAAAGTGACACCACCCCCCTTTCACTCCACCCACCCAGATTTGGTCCCCCACCCAGTGCTGCCCACCCTGTCCCCCCCCCTCCAATACCCTCCCACTCCTCCTTCCCCCTGGTCCTCCCAATTACCCCCCCTTAACCCTCATTAACCACCTTTACCCCTTGAACACCCTTCACTAGACTAAACCCTGTTAACCCCATTTACTTGACCGCACCCCGTTAACCCTTCCCTACCCTCTTTACGCCCTTCAGCCCATTTATGCCCTTTGATCCCTTTACCGCACAGGGGGCAAAGGATTCAGGGGGTAAGAAGTTTTAGTGGGCAAAGGATTCAGGGGGTATGGGGGCAAATCATTGAACCTTTCACCACCCCCCTTTGCCCCTTCACCGTCTGTGTACCCCCCATTTGCCGCCAACCCCCTGACTGTCCTTTGTCCCCGAGGAGCTGTTACATCGCCTTTAATTTGATTGCCCGCTTGAAAAACAAAGATACGGCTGTATACAACCGCAATTTTGGAGGTCTGCACTGGTTTGTTTGGCATGGAGGGCATTTTCAGGCTCGGCCTCGACAGCCGGGCAAGGTACTTGATGCTTTTTTCTGCAAATCCCTAGGAATTAGCAGATCAAAGCTGGCGTCAAGATAGTTATTCATTGACTGAAGTTAATTAATCTAAGTTAAGTGTTTCCAACGACGACCACATAAAGAGCGAGTTGGGGACAACATACAAGTAAAGGCCACAAATGCAGAAACTTGTGCATTTACAGAGCACAGTATGTATGAAAGTTTTTTAGTTTGGACCATTTCTCGATTTATGCGTGTCATCCTTGCGCAGGGGCCATGCTAATCTTCTTTCTCTCTATCTCGTTCCAATTTTAACGTATGTCCCGAAGGAAGTAGAACAAAGATGTTACGCAAATGCCACGGCCACGGAAATGTTTGTGAAAATCAGCTGCCCATCAATGAAAAGCCGGTCATCGGTGAAACGCAAGTCAGGAAAAGAGAAAGAAGAAAAAAAGGAAAGAAACAGGACAACATTGAATCTCTCCTCTCACAATCATTTCACACAAATATCTTACTTGAGCAGCAAACACAACTATTTACCGCACACTGCCTATTGTACAATGGCTGCAGTCGACACTGTAAGCGCGCTACTAAGCAGAGAATTGTCCAGCCCAGCGGCCCAAAACCCAATAAGAAGTCCTTAACCATAAAGCCTTTATCTAGACCCCAACAGGATAATTAGGAAGCGTAATACACATCAAAGTTACAAGGGGGGTTCTTGTCGTCATCTTTTTTTTTTTTTTTTTTTTTTTTAAGGTCCTCGTCGTCAATTGCTTGTGCTTCTTCTACATTTTCTACTCCAAAATTGAATTCAATTCATCTCCAATTTTCCTTTTTTCTTCCAGTTCATTTTTCAAACAAATGAATTGAGTTTTCAGCCCTGTTTCAACCGCCGTCATGTTATCTTGTATTTGTTCCACTGAACATTGTGAAACACTCCCACGCAGATGAGTCGCCATTCCATGTGCACCTCCAGCTGATGACCCCTTTGTCTGCTTGTCCGTCTCTCTCATGCCAAGCCTGCTGCATTCCTCGACAACCCTGCGCTTGACCTCATCATCAATTGTTTGTGGCCTTTCCATGTCCGCCTCCATCTTACGCCTCTCTGTATGCTAAATTGCTAATGCTACAGTCTTCCCCCGAATACAACGTACGGTCATTATAGCTGAATTTGGTGTATCTTCCAGTCTAAATTCAGCTATAATGACCGTACGTTGTATTCGGGGGAAGACTGCAGTCACTCTCCCTATGCCAAACCTGCCACCTCCCTCAACAACCCTGCCTTGAGCCCTTGCTACTCTACAGGTTGCAACGCTCATGTTCCCCGTGCATTGCGCGATCCATTGGCCGACTCAAAATCACCAGTGCCCGAAGTCTCCTCTCTAGACCCTCACACAATTCTCCCACTCGAGACTGTGCTACGAAGTGGAGACATAAGTCCCCAAGGATGTGTGCCCCATCCCTCGGGGCCCTAGGAAGGAGTTGCTCACTAGGCAGCTCGGCTC